CACAGCGGAAGCGTCTGAGGCGGCGCAGGCAGCCGCGGCCTCCATGTTGGCGGGGCCGGCGCGGCGCTGACGGGGCCGCTACGGCCGGAACCTGTGATCCGCGGCGCCAGGTAAAGGCGGACTCGGAGAGGGGGGTCCCTCTGCCTCCATCCCCTCCACCCCTCCCCAGCAATGTGGCTGGTGCTGGAAGCGGGTTTTGTGAGCCGAGAGTGGGGCAGAGCCGAGCAGGCCGCGCCGCCGAGCCACGAGGGCATCGGGGGCGGGGCTGCGGACATCCCCCCGCCCGGGGCAAATCCCGCTCCTCCGCCCGCCGCTGAGTTGGAGGCACTTGGCACTCGGCCCGGGCGGGTCCGCGGCATCTGCGACTGCCACGTGCCGGCCGCTCCGCCCGCGCGGGGCGCTGCATCCTTCAGCCCGTACCTGAGGCTTGTTGCGGGCTCCGAGCCTCGCTTCCGGGCGGCCCCGGCGCCGTCCCCAGCGAGGCTTGAGCGGGCGGCTCCGAGAGCCCGATCGGTGGCAGCGGAGCCTGCGACCCGGAGCGAAGTGCAGGGAGAAGCTGAGCTGGGCTGGGCCGTGACAAGTGAGAGCAGTGCTCCCGGCTCTCCCCTCTGGGGCCTTGGCCACCGTGATGAGCCACAGTCCTGGAGTTGCTGCGGTATTTACTCCAGTCCAAGCTGGCTTCAGACTTGATTCGACTCCCCCGTAGTTAGTTTCTCTACGTGTACAATTATAATTGTCTTAGTATGGACTCTGATCAGTGGAATGCTGCTTCAGGTTCATCTCTGCTGTGGCAGGGGAAACTGCAATGGAGGATAAGGGGGCAGACCCCCCTGCCTTGCTCCCCTGACCTTTGCTCTTTCTATCTGTCCTACCTCATGCTTGGCCCCTACTGTACCTGGCCCCCCTTCCACTTGCTCTTTATACAGTGTTTTTTATATTTATACTGTACTGGGGCACAAAGGCCATAATGAAGTTGGATTTCATTGTGAGGAGTGGTGTACTGATCTCGTAAATTACAGTCCCTGCTTAGAATAGTTTGTTATCTGAAACTTTAAGGGTTTCAAAGCATTAGACTGGGAAGGGAGGGGTGCTGTTCATGTATTTGTCATTAAGAAAAAAAATCCAAGCTAAACAAGTGGCAGCCATGCTGCTCTACCCTTCAGTTAACATTTGAATTGTATCATGGCAGAAAATTTAAATGGGAAGTCCAGCCCAGTATAACTTTTTTTTTGGTTTTTTTACAAAACTGGATCCTTGCAGCAATCCATTAGGGTTGCAAAATAATTCATTCTGAAGCATTTTACAGTTTTACTGAAAAGAATACCTTTTGGATTCCTGTTATTTTGAGATTTCATTACTATGTTGTTTACCTTTGTGTATAGTACTCCATTTTGAGGCCATTCTTTGCATCTGAGAGAAGTTATGGTGTTCTGTTACAGGGTATGGAACTGTGATACCTTGCAGGGCTTGTGCCTTTTTTGTTAGCTTATGAAATATGAATAAGTAGCTGTACAATGAATTACACGTGTGTGTAACTGGTTACTGTATACACACATCAGTTACTGTACACACACATACACATAGCTAGATGCCTATATCGTGTGTGTAGGTATGTGTTAGAGCACTGTTAATATGTGTGTGTGTGTACAGTAACTGATTATATATGGCATGATTAGTTCCTAGGTGGCCTGCGGTGGGATGGCCAAGTGTTACAGGCTGCCTCTGTGTGGTACGCAGCGGATTAAGGAGAGAGGTCAGGAGCAGAAAGCCAAGCAGCAAATCAGGCAGGGGAAGGGGACTGGAGTGGAGTGGCACTTGAGGAGGGATTGGGCTTAATTCACAGGATGTCTGCCAAAAAGGTTGGCCCCCACTGGCCTTTGGAATTATAATGGATCCCTAAGATTCATTTTATACATTATTACAATGAAAATCAACAGCTTTATTAATGTCCTGTTGCTTCAGGTTTCTCTAAAGCCTTTTAGGTCTGAAAAAGAATTCAGTGATCTTAAAAGGTGCGGAGGTCGAAGTTAATCGAGTATTACTGAAATAAAACATTTGCAGTGTAATTTACACATTTGGCATTTGACATGTGTCCCCTCAAGAAACAGCTAATTTTTAAGGGAAAGATAACTAGCTTATTGGAGTTGTGCTTTCTAAGGTAGTCATTTTCAAAATATTTGGACCAGTGGAGCATTGTCTGATCCCAAATTAATTGCATATCCCTGTGCAACCTTGTTACTAAAATTTCATTCAGAAGGAAGACTGAGAGCCAGGGATTACTTACCACAGATTGCAGTTTGGGGACCACTGGTCTGAAGTACTCAACAGTAAAATAAGAGGAAGTGAGAGTTAATTCTTCTTTTGTTAGTCCTGCTACTCCTACTTTGGCAACAATAATTAATTAAAGATTAGCAGAAACTTTAAATAACAAATTAACATCACAGACTAAAACTGACTATTCTGTTGGATGTGTAGTATTTTAAGTTGTCTTCTACACAATTCTGGGGAGTCTTATGGTACTTGCAAAGAAGAAAAATGAGGTTGTACTTTCTTTTGTTGCTTTCTGGAATATATAGAAGACTTAGGAAAAAATTTTTGAACATATTTTTACACTTTATTTGTCCACTTAACTTTGGAAATACCAGGGATATCAAGTCTTGTGTTTCCTGCTTTTACCAGTAGTCGTCTTGGAAACGACTAGAGAAATAGATTGGGAATTGTCACCTAAGGCTTGCCTATACTATAAAACTCTCGCTTTTAGACGTTTTGGCAGCAGCAAGGGGGCCTGTAGCACAACCCAATAAGGTACCAGCTACCAAAGGGCAGCAGCTGTTGGTAGAAAGTGCAGGTGTGTCTACACATGCTTTCTGACAACTTCCTTGTTGTGGCAGAAGTCTTCTGTTGCTTGTGGTGCTGCTGTTGCCCTGTTAGTAGAAAAAAGGGTTCTACCATCAGAAGGAGCTGTGAATGTAGACTTGCTCATAATTTAACTGGTACAACTTTGCCAACAAAACTATGTAGTTCAGATCAAACCTTTGAAGCCAGACTGTTAAATCTTGAACAAAGTTCTTTCCTGCCAGTTGCCTTGACACCTTTACAACACTTCAGAAAGAGTTTTAAATGGTCTGAACAGAACTAGTGGCTTGGGTTTCTGTCATTTGATATTTCTGATGTCATCTCAAAGTTCTGTAGTTGTGAATAGTCTTCAAAGATAAGCAGCGAGCACAGAACCTGAATTTTTGTGGTAAAAACAAAAATAACAAAGCATCCTTTTCCCCCATCCAGATAGTTGTAAAGGATTTCCTTATTCAGACATTCTTTGTGATATTATAAAGAAGTAAATAGTTAACATTTCCCTTGCTCAAGCTGTTGTTGAGACATTATTGCAGACTCCTCCAGTAGTATGATTTGGTTTGTGGGTCTTGTTTCTGGTAAATACCCATTTTGCCAAGTATTTGCCAGAAAGTAAGGTTAAAAAACCGCAGTTTGGACTTGGTGGGGAGTAAGTGGTGAGCCTTAGTTTCTGGCAGCTCAAGGACCACCCCCAAGAAAATTCTCTTTCCCAAACGGACCATTTTTAACCTTATAATAGAGAGTTCTGTGTCAGAGGAGCATAATTGTCAACCACAGTGTTCATTCTAGAATTTTAGATGGGCCAAAGATACTGAAAAAGACCAGGGTGCGGAGCTGCTTTTGAGAGAAGGACTGGGATCTTCAGCTTCACACCCCTCCATAACTTTTATCAATTGAGTGGCACCCAATTTCAAAAGCTAATTAATGTATTACAGTGCTTATCTCCTTACACAAGGACTTCACAGTAATCATGGGGGGATGGGCCACCAGTAACAAGCCTGAGTCTGACTTATCTGCTTATTTCTTCACACATCACAGCACCCTTAAAAGGATCTGAGAGTACCCCAGGGTATCTCTGCACCTTGGCTGAGAGTGAGTGGTCTACTCTAGGGTCTTGTTATTGAGGACTTATTGTTGTTCAGTTCCTTTCCAATTGAAGTTGATAGAAATCATTATTCACAGTTACCATTATGGGAGAGCTTAGTGTTAGCAAGGAATCCAAATTATGGACTGAATTGACCGGTTGTACGCGCTGGTCTTGTTCACCTGAATAAGATAACATTGTGATAGCCAGCTCTTCAAAGTGTTTTTCTATTGGTACTAATTCTATCTTGGTCAGGTTCAACTTCATCCTGCTGCTCTTCATCCATGTGCTGAGCTTATCCAAGCACTGAGCCACATGGGAGGTAGTACCATGGTTGTATGATGTAAAGATAAATAGATGTGTGTTCTTCTACCAGCTCTTAGCGCTTGAGTTATATTCTGATCAGTTTCTTGTAGATGCTGAAAAGTACCAGAAGAGAATTTATCCTTGTGGTACCCCAGCACCAAGGGATCTAGTGGTACAGATGTAGTTTCTCATCACTACTTGTTAGGTGCAGCCCTTGAAAAAGGACTTGAACTACTTTAATGCATTTTCTTAGACTCCTGCTATCTCTCTTGGGCAAGACAACAGTATCAAGTGGTTGAAAGTACTGAATGCTACAGAGGGGTTTGGGAAGATCAGGAAGGAAGTCTGCCTTCTATCCACCAGTTCCACTAAGGTGCATTATATTTTGTATCCTTTCCAGGGCTGTGTCTTGAAATATTGGCATCAGTTGCACAAATTTACTGTTCACCTTAGATTAGCTTCCCTGTGAGCTTGCTCAGGAAGTCTTGATGCTGAGTAATAGCTGACTAGAACTGATGTATTTGTCATGCATTTTTTCATTATCAATTGGACTACTACATGTTTGAAGAAGTGAAGATTCCTTCTCTGAATGATACTTGGCAAGAGTGACACAAGTAGTTTGACTGACTTTTAACAAGAGATGTAGTTATCTGTGTTAATCTGAAGCTAAGTAGAAGGCAGAGTAACATTGTACCTATATAGATTAACCAAAATAGATATAGCTGGCATAACTTTTTGTGGACTGAAGCTCACACCCATCTGTCGCTGGGAAAGGATGTGCACAAAGCAGTGTATAAGAAGCACAGAAATTTGAATGCAAATGGCAGAATGGGAAGGGCAGAGGGGAAGGTGAGCTGCAGTGTGCAG